CATTGATCCTATTGTTTTGAATGATATTGATGATTCCAATGAGTGGTTAATTGGAGAAGTTGATGAAGATAGACAACTTGCCGAGGATGAGTTAGTATTTGAGAATGATAATTTGACTTGGGGAGTTGTTGCTGATGCTACTGGAGCTAACGAGTCTGCTTTCTACACTAGGATGCAAACATCAATGAGAAAGAATGCTACAATAGAAGAAATGGATGAGAATAGAGAGGAGGAGGAGGAAGAAGAGGAAGAATATTTAGACAAGAGTGGCAGCGATGATGGTGAAACTGAAGAAGAAACAAATTTATCAGATTTTGAATCTGATTAGCTTTGATATCTATTTATCAAACAATAGTGATCTAATTGTTTTTGCTTATATAACTATCTAAACATTATAATTATATATTTTTTGTTGACATTTGATTGGTCATTATGAGTTTAGTTTATAGATTTCTTCTATATTATTGTTGTAATTTTGTATACGTAATAATATATATGTATATATATATTCTTAAATATCTAAATAGCGGTCATACCGCTATCCGCTATTCCGCTATAGCATTTTAGAGGTTAACCGTTACGCACCGCTATCCGTGATTGACAACTATGACGAAGATGAAGTTATGGTTTGATAATCAAACAACATTACACATTGTATCAGATCCAGTATTTCATGAACGAACGAAGCATATCGAAATAGATTGTCACTTCATCTCTGGATATATAGATACTAAATATGTGTCTTCAGATGATCAACTTGCAGATGTATTTACGAAAGCTCTGGCAGGTCCTAGATCCCCCAGTCTATCTGGGACAAGCTTGAATCGTATGATTTGTACGCTCCAGCTTGAGGCGGAGTGTTAGATTTATTAAAATCATATCTATATCTATATTTATATCCATATCCATATCCATATTCATATCTATATTATATCCATGATTTAGTTAGCTATAATAGATTTTCTAATTTGCTATATATATATTCTTCCCTTTTCTTTTTTTGGAATAATATAACTTTATTTTCCCTCTTTTTCTCAACAATCCCTATACATGTCAAGACTTCAGACTTGTTATCGCCTCACGACCCAAAAACCTCAAACAAGATCAAGACATTATAGCGTAAGAAAATACAAAAAAGCCTTGAATTTTGATAATAAATGTGAAGTACTTGCAGCAACAAGTGCAACATTAGCATAACTCACAACCAGAGAAAGCTTCTGGTGCTTGTTGGCCGTTAAAACTAACTCTTCTATAAGGTATAGATATGATGGGAGTTTGTTTGGCAGGTTTCAAGGATTTTTACTATTCCTAAAAAATTCATCTCACTCAAAATATCAAATCAAAACACTTAATTGTAATTTTTTTTATATTATACTTAAAATCAATTTTATATTCAAAATATTGCGTCAACATCAATTTATATCACATCAAACATTTATTTCAATTTAAAAATTAATCAAAATCCAAACCCCCAAACAAACTTAAATTAATTCAAAAATTTCTTTTTCTCATCCTTTTGCATTACCTCCTTAGTGAGCTAAGAAGGTTGCTTCTGTTCTTCATGGTATCAGAGCATCATTGATCTAATGTTCAACATCTAGCAATGCCAATAACAATCCTTAGACAAAAGCAACAGCATATGCCATATCACGGTTGGCTACTCAAGCGATTGCATTACAACGGGCCACTCTTCATAAAGCATTGCAGCTGAGGAGTAGTTATTAACCACACCTAACATTGTCTTCAATTCCTTTCAATGGCTCCAACTAGTTCATATGGAGATATCGAGTTTGGAATACCTTGTTGAAGGCAAAGCAAGATTCCTTGCTGGTGAAGGTAGATGGTTTTAGAGCTTGGATACATAACTTCACTATTAATGATTTACAAGCAGCATTTATTTTTGTACTGCAAAAGCTCCTGGGAAAGCCTAAAGGAGAAATATGATTGATCCAATGACTCCATTGTTTATCAACTTAAAAGGTCCCTCAACACATTGAAGCAAAGAGATAAATCAAAAACTATCTATGTTATTAAATTGCACGAAATATGCAAGAGCTTCTAACCGTAAACCCACCACAGGAATGCACCTATTGATCAAACACCGAGCTCCTACAAATAATGGATAGAGATATGCTAATCCAATTCCTAATAGGTCTCTACGACACCTATGATGCAGCTCATAGACAGATTCTTTTAATGGAACCTTTTCTAAGCATGAGCCAGAAATATCCTCTTCTCCTTCAAGTTGAAAAACAAAGGAAAATTCACATTAGATTGAACAAAATTCCGTCCTAGGAACTAATAGAGAGTCACAGTCCATAAAGAGTAATGACAAGAAAAGATCACCGGTAGACAAGAGAAAGTATGTGTGTGAGTATTATAAAAAGGAAGGGCACAACAAAGAAACTTGCTGCCAATTACATGAACTTGTACATGGATATAGTGGGGAAAAAAAATAAAAATGGCTGGAGCTGTTAATGAGAAGAAAGAAGGCAACTAAGCTGCTATATCTTGATCAACTGAACTTATTGCTCTCATACAAGCTAAAGTACAAAAGATTTTAAGTTGAATCTTCCCAACGCACCTATAGAATTATATTCAATCCTGTTAGAAAAATATCATTTTTAGTTTTGGCATATGAAATATTAATGCAGCAAGTCGACACCAAAATGGAAATATGCAGACAGCTGCTGGAAATCCTTGAAAAGGTTTATTTATATCTAATTTCCCAGATATGGAAATATGCGATCCCTGCTCAAACAGTTCCTCCTCTATGTCTTCACAGCTCCTCCTAAATGCAACCCATTTTAGCATTGCATGGCACTTGTCTCAAATGGTGACATACAGAACCAAAATCATTTGATCAGGCTCAAAAGACCCTTCCTGAAGAGCTTCTATGGATGAGAAGTTTGAGACATTAAGGAAGAATGGCACATTATATTGCTTCCCAACGGCATCACACCCATTTCTTGCAGATGGATCTTTCGAGTTAAACACAATTCCAATTGAAGCATACAACGTTATAAAGCTAGATTGTTGGTTAAGAGGTTCTTGCAAGTCCCTAGAAAGGACTATAACGCGTCTTTTGCTCTTGTGACTAAGGTAGTTGCCTTTTTATTTTTATTTGCCATTGTTTTGATCAAATCATGGGATGTTCAAATCATGGGATGTTCATCAATTGAACATCAATAATACCTTCTTACATGGTTACATTGATGGAGAACTTTACATGCTAACTCCAGAAGGCAGCAATGTCCCGACAGTACACGTATGTAAGCTTACACAATCTCTATACGGGCTCAAACAAGCCCTCCAACAGTGGTACAAAGGGTCCACATTGAAGAATCTTGATTATGGCTTTGTCCAATCATCCTACGAAAATTATCTATTTACACTCACCTCAGCTCATTCTTTCATATCTCTATTGGTCTATGGTAATAACATACTTATTTATTGATAATGAGTTGTCCTCCATTGAAGCTCCAAAGGCCTTCTTACATGCTACATTCACCATTAAGAACTTGGGTCCAGCACATGGATTTCTTGGCTTTCACATCATTCAATCTTGACAACGGATTTGCTTTCTCATAACACTAGTTCTTAAAAGATATTATCCATCGTCTACTAGCTGCTAATATTAGCTCTACTCCAGTGGCTACTAGCACCAAACTTTAGAAAGACAAAGGCACTTCTCTCTCTAATCCTGCCAAGTATAGAAGTCTTGTTGATCGTCTCCTCTATCTCATCACTATTACAAGACCATACATACGCTATGTTATACAATAGCTAACACAGTTCATGGCAGCCCCTACAAACGATCACCGGAGAGCATCTTCAAGGGACTATGCAACTTCAACTCCCCTTCCCACCGGAAGGTCCATTGACTCACTGCATCTTTTTTTACGCCAATTAAGCTAGCTGCTTAGACTCCGCCCAATCCTTAATAGGCTTTTGCTCATGGAAGACCAAAATGCAGCCTACTATAACCCGCTCATCAGCAAGGCTGAATATCGATCCTTAGTAGCCACAATGTCTGAGTTGTCGTGGATCCCCTATCCGATGCGTGACTCTCTACTCCCTTAGCCCTCTTCCAGTCCTCTTTATTGTGACAACCACTCATCCCTCCCTCAGCCCTCTTTCATTCCTCTTTATGGTATTTGTGACAACTAGTCATCCATTCACATGATTCAAAACCCATTTCATCATGAGCACACGAAGCATGTCGACATTGATTGCCATTTTTTCTGCAAGCACTTTGCTTATGGTTTTAGTTTCCATACCATCCTCTCAACTCTCAACAACTTTCTTACACGTTCACTAAAGCCTTGCCACTTGCCATCTTTGTTGCTGCATGTGGCGAGCTGAATCTGGGCTTCTCCAGCCCATCTTCGCTTGCCAGGGGTATGATAACAAATGCAGCAAGTGCAGCAACAGCATCACTCACAGCCAGATGGATGTGGCTAGGAGTAAGCTTCTAGTGCTTGCTGCATGTTGTTGTTAGGGACTACTCAATTTGTTAGGCTTGTTAAAACTAACTCCTCTATGGGCTATAACTATCATGAAGCGTATATACTCAAATTAATTCAACAGTCTATTTACCTCATCCCTGCCCTGGCAATGGCATTGCTCTGTTTTTGAGCTAAAACCGCTGCTTCTGTTCTTCAAATTCATCCAATGGAAAAATAAGAACAGAACGAGCGCCCATCAGAATAATGTTTCTCTTTCTCGCTTCAGAATCTAACGAACAGCTCACATTCTCACAACTCAAAAGGAAAACAAAAAGAGTTCAAACAGTTTTAATCAGACGTTCAAATAAACAGCAAGAATGTAATCACAGCAACATAATCCAATCAAGGGTTCATTAAAGAAATTAAAAGCGCCAATGAAAGAGCCATCCACCATTACGCACAGAACACTGACGCATTCGCTCACACACATTCATGAATCATGATTCATCCATACCCACATTCACCGCGCAAGTGTGTGTAAACGCTACTGACCTTGATTCTCGAAGGATCCAGCACCATTCCGTTTACAGACAGGTCGCTCGAACCACCGGAGTCCTTACCAACGGAGCACAAGGCGGATATCGCCTGCGCAGCGGTCTCCAGGCATCGAAGAAAAGGCGAAACAAAAACTCGATGGATCGGTACACCGAGCTGATCTCTGAGCTTCTCTCCGGTGCGGAAGGCTCGCACCTTGCCGTTGTCGTCCAGCGGAGGATCCCAGGGGCGCAGAGCCGACGCCGCCCAAAGAGGCGACGAGTTGTCCAGCCTATCTCCATGGCGCATTACGATGACATTTTGGTAGGACTGAGGTGCTCCGGAGGCAGCGACTTGATCGGAGGAACCCATGGGAAGGTTGTGATGTAGGCAGAGAGAGTGTGGAAAAACTCAAAAACAGGGAAATGCAACTGCGTACGAGGAAATATTCGTGTGGTTTGTCGCCATGAAAATGAATATGGTTTGCGGGCGCCAGCTCATCTGCACTGCCTTGGCTTGTCAACTTCTAGAAGCCTCAAAAAGAAAAAACAAAAACTTCTAGAAGCCTCTACTCGTTCAACACCACTGGAATTAATAATTAATTGTAATTGAATGAATTAAATATGTTATAATTTCTAGAAAATTTTTGAAATGGTATCCAACATTCGAAAGTACTATTGCGTCAGTTCGTCGTAGTTTTAATTAAGTTGGATACGAGATTTAAAAAAATATTATATTATATTGATAGTTGGTAAAATATATGGATAAAATATTTTTTTGTCTGAGTGTATTAGCGTAAAAAGTAGTGGCAATTGTGTAATAAAAATAAAAAAGTAAAGGTAGTTTTACGGTGATATGATTATTTATGAAAATAAAACTATTATACTGAGGGAGTATTTGAGTTTATTATATTTTGTACATCCTTTTTTTCTATCTCTATATCTTCTTATTAAGAAATAAAATAAAATTAACAATAATCTACGTCACAGACAAACGTCTAACAGATGACGCTGATTGGACCAACGTGTATCTGTCGGTATGCCACATAAGCATAGAATACTATGAAATATGAAAAAAAAAAAAAATTAGTTACGAGACAATTTAAAAAATGTATCTGATTATGGAACTAAAATCATAAAAAGTCTAATTACAAAACTACAAAAATTAGTTTACTCATGTAAATAAAATATAAAATATGGAGACGGACCCGGTGTTGATGAGTGCCCCATCAGCACCATGCTGATCCAATCCTAGATTATGATGAACGGTTTAGATTATGCAGGAGTAATATAGTAATTTTATTTTAAAGACTTATAGGTGTATATGAACCATTCGTCTTCAAATCGTTAATCTTCCCCCTTCAAATCGTTTTTTTCAACAAAAATCCTCCATCGCGCTAGCTTATTCTCTATTCCGTCTTCAAATCGCCTTCAATGGAAATCCTCCATCACGTTCATTTGTTCTCCATTCCGTCTTCAAATCGCCTTCTTCAACGAAACCCTTCCCTCGCGCGTCGTCTTTAATTCGTCTTCTTCAACTCTCTGTACCGTCCTTCAAATCGACGACACTAGGCGCGTCCATGGAAGCGATTTTTGGTAAGTATTGTTTTTTCCATTGTGCAGTTTAGGGTAAATGTTTAGGGCGAGGACGAGGTCGTGGACAAGACAAAAATTAAGTGTGATGACTGATTTGTTGATTTTGATGAATTGAATTTGAAGAGATTGTTGGTATTGATCGATCGATTTAACTTGAATAGATTGTTGGTGTTGATCGATGGATTGAATTTTAATTGGTGATTGATCTGTTGACTGTAATTTCGCAACAATTACTGCTTAATACTCATGCTTCTTGTTAAAACACAAGATGCTGACCGATACATAGTAAAATGCTTGACTTAGTATATATAAATGTTGACAGGTTTAGAATGAATGCTGCATGTTTCTAGCGGAAACAAGGTCTGTTTTTGCGAGCTAGCAGAAACAGACTTTGTTTTCGCTAGAAACAGATTTTTTTTGTAAAAGTTGGCTACTCTCGGCCGAAACAAGCTTGGTTTCCATGAGCTCGTAGAAACAAGTTAATTTTTTTTTTTTAAAAAAAAAAGTTGCATGACTTCAAGAATAATTTTTTAACTTGACAATTAATTTTGCAGCATTTTCTCGAATAACATTCATATAATTTGATAGTTCATTGACATCCTAAACACACTTCTAGAAAATGCTTATTGATACTCAATAAGATGTTTATTAGTATTCGAAAAAATGTTTGGTCTTGTATATGTAAGTGCTTAATATCAATTATTCACAATACTTTGCAGCTAAATCATATATGAACTGACAAAAAATTATTTTTTTTTTGGATTTATCCTGATGGTTATCTTTCTTATTCATCATTTGATGTTTCTTTTGTCTCTTAGAGTTGCTGATTAACATATTTCTTTTAATTTTTCCATTTGAATTGTCTTTTGGCTTCAATATGAAATGGTCTGCAGTCGTTATATTTTGTACTTCTCCTGTAGCATGAAGAATCGATTAATTTAATATCATATATATTTCAATAAATATAAAATATATACAAAACGTAACTGTTATTTTCATCCGTCGGCATTCCTCCATACAGATTTGGGAATGTAACTATGTTGTGAAGCAATTCATTGAATTTATGTAAAAATTAACTGTAATCCTTCGGCTCAGATGCTATTAACGTTGCAGAATTCATGAAAAAGTGGCACAATGATATGTATCTTTCTGAAAAATCTATTTCCTCTCGACTAGATGTTAAGCTTGTGTGGTGCTACTGTAACATCTTCCTAGCATCTTTTCTCCATCGATTCAATATGTATTTGTTTGGGATATTTTTGAACTGTGCACACCCTGTTTCTACTAATACATCCATCGTGCGTATTGAATGACAACACAACATTCTAGAGTTTTTATATATATTGCAGTGCACTCAATTGAAGATTCTTGAATATTTACGCGCACAAGATGTTGATCGCATGTCTTTTCCATGTTATATATAAGATATGTTGCCTTTTCATCTAAGTACTGTGTTATGAATTCAAATGATCTTTGGTATTGCTCCTGAAACCATTGAAAGACATTCAGTGTGTAGAATATAGCTGCAGATTTCGTCAATGAGTTGAATATATGATTTGCAACCAACCTTCTATCTCGTGCGAAAAAATTTTGTTGTTCCTTTTTTATTCTCTATGATTCTCCACCACTCTTTGAAATTGATAAAAAATAAAAATAAAAAATTAAAGCAATATTACTGTCTAGCTGTAAAAACCTGCTCAGCATATTCAGAAATTGATAAAGAAATTGAATAACATTACTGTCTGGCTGTAAAAACCTACTCAGCATATTCACGTTCATTCAACAGCATATATGAATAATACACTCAACATACTAATCTATTAATATGAGCAGACGAGCCAAGTAAAGAAGCATATTCACATTTTTCTTTCCTCCGACAACTATTTTCACAAATCATACGATGATCTGATTGGTAGTCCGACTTCTTGATTTGTATTCGCAATGATTAAATGTGATGTATTAATCCTACGATTGAATACAAACATGTGCTTGTGTTTTGTAGGATGTAGATCATGATTATGGTAGTATTTAAAGTATGTCACTTGTACTTTGCATTCTTCTTGTCAAATTGAAGTTGTATCTTTGAATTACAGTCTGTTCCCATTTCATGACTATGATGCATGGTTTTGATCCTTCTTAACTCGCTGCATTGTTTTAGATTAATCTCAAGATTGTTTGGTTTCACACTGCTACTCTCTTTGAACTCTGCTTTGTTGCAACAATACTCCATGTATTGTATCTGGTGCGATCTTTTCTGAAATTCTTCTGAATTTTTATCCTCACTGAAAAATCCCTATTGTATGCATATTCACAATAGAAATTGTAAGCATCATCCGGTTTTGTAAATTCCATTGCATGTCAATCTATGGACTCTGCACACATGGAATGCTAAATTCTGTTAATCAAAATGCTGACCACCATATTTCAATATGCTTTCAGATAAATGACAAGATGTTGATATCTATATCAAATACAATCACATATCATGCTAGTAACTAACGTTCTCATTAAATTGCGAATGCTAAAGTATATTTACGAAATTCCAATCCGCTGAACAGAATAACATAATTTCAATGAAATTGATCACAGAAGGTACGATGTTCACGATTTCAAGTCAATTTTTGATGCGTAACTTACACGATTGAGCGATTCCCGTTCCAACGCGTCTGGTACTGGCAAAGGCGCTGGATCATCCGAAATTGCAATCTCTTCGATGTTTCCATTCCTTGTTGAACGGTTGAATGGGGTTGAAATAATGGATAATTGATTCTGCCCACCTTTGTTGATATCAACCATTGAAAAATGAAGGAGAGTGAAGAATAAATGATGACATTTCTCCCCACCGATTGCTGCGTGAAAGAATGAAGGAGGGTGATATTTGATGTAGTTACATAAATTAGGGTTATTAAAATTACAATTACACCCTTAATCCAATGGCTAATATGCAATCAGCATTTAATTTTCAACATGCAATCCCACCCCATAAAATATACATGTCATCTCTTAATTGGAAGGTATAGAGAGGTAGGGTAATTAAACCTGACTATTTATGTCAAAAATAAATAAATTCATCTTGTACAAATTTGAATTTGAATAATTGTCTTATGTGATTTAAAAAAAAAATTTGATATTTTGAATATAGTATAAAAAAATAAAATATAAATGTTTGATTTAATATTTCTTTCATCCCACGTAATTTCTCCAATCTTTTTATATGGATTCGTCCCACATAATGTCATTATCAAAATTTCTTTGATTATGGTCGGAAATTGTATCGGAATCAATTTCAAAACTATAAATATATATAATAAATATAAAATCAATTAATTTTTTTGTCTCAAAAACTCGGATTTTTCGAAGCTATATTATATAAATCTCGATCCTTTATTAGTCTCGGAAAATTCCGCACTTTTTTAGTCTCGGAATTTTCAACTAGATTTTAATTTGTATCGGACATTCTGAACATATTCTAAATAGTCTCGGAAATTTTGAACCTATTGTAATTAGCTTCGAAAAATTTCGAATATTTATTAATCTTGAAACTTTCGAACTTTTTTTAATTTGTATCGGAAATTCCGAACCTATTCTAAGTAGTCTCGGAAATTCCAATTTTTTACAGTCTCGGAAATCCTGAATCTATTTCAATAAGTCTCGGAACTTCCGATCATATTTTAATTAGTCTAAAAGATTCCGAACATTTCTTAATCTCGGAAATTCTGAACCCTTATTAATCTCGGAATAGTCTCGGAAAGTCCAAAGCTATTGTAGTTTGTCTCGAAACTTCCAAACTAATTAAAATTGGTTTCGAAAATTCCAAATCTTAACTAATTTCACATCTTTATTAGTCTCGAAATTTTCAAACTTATTTAATTAGCCTAAAAAATTTTCAAACCTAT